TATGATTTTTTTAAAAACAATATATCCGTCCCTAAATCGAATTGGAATGTGTTTGAGGGTCCCTTAGGAGTCTTTCTAGGAAGTTTGGAGCAATTAAATTTTCTGACCAAAATTGACAAAAATTGCAAGGGGTTAGCCTTACATTTTTAATGAAACTTGGCCAAAATATGAATTTCTTTTATTTGATATATCTGTCCCTAATTCGAATTGGAATGTGTTTGAGGGTCCCTTAGGAGTCTTTTCAGGAAGTTTGGAGCAATTTTATTTTTTAACCAAAATTGTCAAAAATTGCAAGGGGTTAGCCTTACATTTTTAATGAAACTTGGCCAAATTATGAATTTCTTTTGATATATATGTCCTTAAATCGAGTTGGAATTTGTTCGAGGTGCCCTTAGGAGTCTTTCCAGGAAGTTTGGAGCATTTTCAATTTTCTGACCAAAATTGACAAAACAAACAGTAATACCAAACGTTAACAAAAATAAACAAAACAGTAATACCAAAACACTCTATTTTTTCTTAGTTATGCTTTTTATTCAGTAATTAAAATTCAAGCTTTTCACATTTGACAAAGTAAAAGTGTTACCCACAGTTTCTAGGCCCTATTGGTGAATTGGATAATATACATTTAACTCAACCAGTTAAACCAGTTAAACCAAGTACTTTAAATGAGTTAATTACAACCATTACTATCATAAACCATGATTAACAAATTGAAAACCTTGATCTACTCCCGACAAGAGATGGTGTCTAACGACTATTCCATGTACAAATGAACAAATTTTACAAGTTGTATACGACTGTCCCTGTCCATATATACACACTGAATCCGAACTGGAATGAATTCAAAACATTTTACCACAATTGTGACATATTTTAAACAGGGCACTCTTTCCAACAAATTAGGTACTCACACTAGTCTAAGGATATGCCAATTTCGTTTTTGTCAAAAACACGCTGCAGATTTCTTTGGTGAATAGTTTGGTCAGATATTGCTTAATTAAATTTTTTGACATCCTGCTTTTGTGCGGCCTCGTTTGATTTTCGAAATTTTTCCAACACAAGCCTCGGTTTCATCAGCCTCACTGACCTGTGTATAAAAAAAATTACAAGATGGCCGCCACATATAAAGAGCAAATGTCATGGTCAAAATGTTGGCTAAAAACGATGAAAATCTTGCTTCTTGACAATTAAAAAATTTGAATGCGATCCATGAATTGTCTTGTAGATTACATTGTGCATAATTTTTATGCAACACAAAACTGAATTAAAGGGAATATACAACATTTGCAAACATCAAAAATCAAAACTACCAAATGTTTATGAAACACCTTACTAGGATGTTGGTAAATGACAGTCCAAAGCATCCTGTAAAATTGTGGCACCTGGTGTGAAGTCATTTTATAGAAAACTGCTATTTTGTGTAAATTTCCAACGGTGGTCGGCCGACCACCGTTGGAAAAACCTAACTACTTTTTAACTACAACTATACTGCTCCAAATGTACCATTTTTTCAGTGCAAATTTTGTTTGCTATTCGTTACATGTTCATGAACGGGTGCAGGCCAGCTAGACTGTTACACTTACTTTTATTTTCTGGCATCTATAAATTGATCAATTTCATCTTTAGTGGAGTCAGGGAACCAGACTATTTGAACATATTTGTTTTTCTTGGTTTTTCCAGCATTTTCAAACGCAAAACTTCAAACTTGTCATTGTAACAACATTTGATCAATTATAGTAAACACTCAAATAGTCCATTTCTGAAAATCACAGCAAAAGCCAATGATGTACATTTCCTTTAAGTTGTTTAATTTACTTATGGTGATTTATTATTATTATTTTTTAAGGACTAAAAGTAACGTTTAGGTTTTTTGTTGTCTTGGTCATGTGAGCTCACACGAGATTTCAAGGCTTTTTTGGTATGTTGTGGAATGCAACTACTATCGTGATTACTTTTAACATTTTGCTTACATACATACAGTGTTCAGTTTATCCATCAACAATGATCAAAGCCAGCACAATTTGACAGATAACTACGTTGGGAATTTTGGAGAGGTCAGCCTTGTGGTATCCCAGAAATCAAAGAAAATGTACAAATCTACACAAACTGCATCACAAGCAAATTTCCGTTACTAAGACCTACACACGACAGCTCCGATACTACAGCTTTTGTGTTAATACTGAATTTTTGTCTACAAAACTCAACATAATATACAACCCATTTTTTTAATGGATATAGTCCATCATTTGTAATTTGTGCATTTTGTTCGTTTGAAGCAACAAAAGTGTTCAAACTCTAATGAAGGATACTGAACAACTAACCTGATGAAGTTTCAGCTCAGCTTCAGCTGTATATTCCAAGAAAAACAGCATTCTAGGATCTCAATTTCAAATCAAAAGTTGCTGAATCATGTTTTGAATTGTTTTGAATTGCAGCTATACGCGATGTCGCGCACTGATCCGACGAATTATAGCAACCGCGCGCGCCTGTGCGTCGTGCCAATGCTTGCGCGCGCTGCGCCGAATAACAAAACGAACTACTAATTTAAATTTCCCTACGGTGCATCTTAAGACGCACCGTTGGAAAGGCCTTCTTTCGTTGATTACGTCAAAATGACAGCTTGGCAGAAAGAATAATTTCACAGGGAGTTTAGTTCCCTTACTATCTTTCAACCAAGTATGTTTTTCATCAATAATTATGCCAGTTACTTTTCGGATGGCTGCAAATGATGGACTATAGCTTTAATGGATATATGTGGATCATTGTTCACAGTGTACATAAGTTCACGAGTCGGCCATATTAAATTGAAAACAAGGTAAAGGCGTCATTTGTGGAACTTGCGAGTAGAAATGAAAGCAATGACATAAAGGTAACTACAAATTAATACCAGTCTGATCTGATGTATAATTTAAAACTTGTGATTAAACATACCTAATGTTTTAAGCCACATTTAACAAAAAAAAATTAAAGTGAGGCTTGGAACGCATGCCAATCATGAAATAGTCTGGCGCCATCCCATTCAACCGTTTACAATTTACAAGTAGATTCGGGGAACACGATCGAAAATGGCTTCATCTTGAATGAGGTCTATTGCGTTCAGTTTAAAATGGAATCCCCACGTTTTATTCATACATACTTGTTACCTTTTTCAATGATTCACGTTACAGTTAGCACTACAAGTCAGTGAACAAAAGTAAGTTATAAGTAATGAAAGTAAAATTAAATTTCTGTAGTTAACTTTAAAAATTTGTTATTATTATATACATGTATACATTTTACACCTACGAAGCAGACGAAAACAGCCAACTCTGAAAACATTTGGACAACAACTTCTACAATTTTTACTAAGTCAAAACAAAAGTTTTGTCGTGAATTTTTACCGCATTAAAAATGTCCCTTGAACCACAAAATGAATGAATTTTGTTTATTTGTAATATTCATAAATCACATTTTCACAATTTATGGTAACAGATAAAGGAGGATAATTTTTTATGTTCTGTTAAAAAAAACCTTTTTATACATGAAGTGTGTTTACTAACAGGTCAGCATTACATCAAATGATGCCTTGTTTGGGATCACAAATATCAATTCTATTATCTTGCAATGCTCACCGCAAATGCCTAATTACAAGCGCCAGGCATACATGGCTTATGTTAGCCTGGTTTTCTCAGCTGCAGTCATTTAACGTTATACTTTAGCACAGACCTACTTCGCCCAGGCTAGGCCCCGAATTGCCGTCCCAAATCTCTGATGTTTAACAATGCAAATGTACACTGTATAATCTTTTTGTTTTGGAGAATATTTTTGTCGCTTTCAAATTTGTATTTTACATGCACTGCTGGGATAAGATTTTGGGAATGGCACGTACTTAACTAGATTTAATGTAATTTTTTGCTTCGTATCAACAACAAAATTAAGTTCACAAAAAGTACAACAAAATTAAGTTCACTGATCAACTATGTTTACATTAAAAGACAACTTATAACACAAATGTTACAACTTGTGTATTACAGAGAGCCCCAAGCTCAGTGCGAATGATTTCCGTCCTTTTTAAAGCCTTTTAAAGATTTTAAAGCAATTAAAGAACCAGTGATTTCTCAAGGAACTTATGAATGAAAGCACATGTTCCCACAAAGAAATCAGATCGCATCACTGCAGTTTCGTCCTTGAACGATCCTGGATCTACTTTGTTTTGTTTTCACGTAGCTTATACCTGCTTACTACACTCGGCGCTCTAATGTTGAACACATTTTGAGTAGCTCTTTGAGAGTCTTGATGCAACCAATTGCTTGTGTATACACTAAGCACCTGCTGAAAGTTTATACACGTCATGCACACGATTATTATTCAGGTGCTGTTGAAGTTTAACATGTTGAAAAAATGTTCACAGATTTCACACACCACCTACATGTATGTGTAACTGCGAATGTTAGGCAGGGTCTCTACCGCCCTCGCTAGACTATGCACAAAGCAAATAAAACCAGTTCAAGTGGCATTTTTAGGAAATGTTGTGGACCGTTCAGAAGACACTGTTTGGTTTTGAGTAATATTAGTTATCTTACGAGCGCGAATTGACGCACTACATTTTCCACATTCCATGGGCAAACCTGATGCACAGTACAAATGGAACACGCACGCTATACTCAAATTTTTCGGCGGTTATCCTATTACATGTACATGTGCATGCAGCAGGAATGGCGCGCGCATCTTTACAATCTTGCAATACACAGAGTGCAATGTGGACCGCGGTTTACGGGATAACACCACACTGCTGTTGCCATGGATCGACCAATCAGGATCGAGGATTTGCTCGAAGATAAACTCTGTTGCATTTACCCAAGTTTACCTGCTTACCAAAACCAAACAGCGCCCTCTTATTGTGTCCACTTCACCTCAAAAAGGCTAGTGTAATTGGACCCAGAATTTAGTTTAATACACGTATTCATTTAACTCTATAACAACTACTTTTTAGTTAGCACTTTTGAACTACTTACTAATTATACGGCCATCATTTTACGTCTGTACAATAATACATCAATAATACATATATGTGTTTATATACATGGTTTTGATAATAAATGTACAACTGGGCATGACTGGTGGACTCCGATGCAAGCTTTTAGACTACTCCAAAAAACACCTTAAAATCTGAAAAGGGGTTTGAAATGATGTGCTACATGTCAAAATGCGATTGACCAAAATAAGTTACTACAGCTGTTGAGCCTAATTGCGTGATTTTAAAATCCCATGGAATCGTATATAACCATACCAACCAACAAAGAAATAAAGGGATGCAAAATTGCATCAAAATCCACCAGATTTTTTTTAAACTCGATATTGTCGCTATAAAATTACCACTGATCAGCTTATCATTTCCATAACTGGTTGCTGAGCGTCTGGCCCGATCCGGCCCCTCCCCATCCGCCGCCCATGCCGCCCGCCCCCGCCATGGCAGTTGGTACGGGCTGTTGCTGGGGCATCACCGTGTTGCTCTGCTGCCAGTTGGGCTGCTGCACTTGTCCTTGAGGGGGGTTGGGGTTGGCTCCGGCTCCGCCGCCGCCGACGCGCATGGAATTCATCTGTTGCTGGATCTGGCAAAATTAGATGAAAAATGAAAATTGTTTAACTAAAACTTTATCAAAAATGAATATCTGACTTTTCTTGGCCTCTCTGGATGCAAGTTGCCCGGATGCACATTTATAAAAATTAATTTACATAGTAGAGGCAAATTCTATACATTGACTTCCCAATTAACAGAACATGCATAGAGTAACCTTTTATAATCCTAAGTAAAAACATGAAATATTAAGTTATGTTTAGCACAAAATAATTTAAACTAGCAAAAACATGTACATCGGTACATTGGTATGTACTGTACAACTGTGAAACCCTCAACCAATGGAGCACATGCAACTACTGTCCACACGTTTAAACTAAATCCTTCACTGGCCTATTTAGCCATGTCAGTGTGTTTGCCTTACGCAGAAAGAAGTCCAATCAGTTTTCTTCAAGCATTTGCAAATATAGAGCCTCTGGAGCCAGTGACATACATGTACCAGAGCACACTACAATAGCACTGGACAACATTTGCAGAACCAAACAATAAAATTGCGGTAAAACAGTTCATGCACACAGAGTTTCATCACAAGGATGAAAAAATTTCCACGGCGTTATTTCCATCGTAAAATTGCGTGGTTGTATTGTTTTGTCAAACTGAGGCGCATGCATATCCCGATTGTTGGCCGGTTTAGGCTGGCCCACGTTTAACTTGATCACTACATTTCGAAATTGAATATTCAAATATTTGATCAAGTCCAAGTTGGAATAATCGAACACTAAATTATTCGGAAATGCACAGCCTTATTGTTCATGCAAGGAGCCAGGGAAACAGAGTGTATTTCTTCTTGTACAGGCTTACTTTGATCTGAATAAAACACATTCTACTTGTATTTGTGTCACACAAAATACCCTCCTGCTGTCTGAACAGTCACAGACAGTCAAAAAATCCATCCTCCTCCCCTGCAATGCCTTTATACACGGGCTGGTCACCAACAGTCAGATCATATTTCAAGCAAGCACTGTGACAGGTCAAATTCAGTCAACAGACAAAAGCAAGTAACTGGCACGCACAGCTGGCTTATCGATCTCCTACAGTCAATGCAAAGCTGTATCAAGTTGCATAAACAGTCACAGCCAGTCAATTCTGCTTTAAGTAGCCTGGGAGCTCTTAACTGTTAAAACCAGTCATTTGATTGATTTTGACTGCTAGGACAGCTGTGTTGAATTTGCCAGCAGGAGAGGGAGGGATCACTTTCCAAAGTTGTAAATATTCTAGAACATTTTCTAACATGTTTCCCTTTCATGCAAAATGAATAACATTACGGTATTCAACTTTTATCCAAATATTAAGGAACATGCTCACTGTCGAAAATTTTCTATCTAATTTGTATGAGTTTCAGAAAGAGCCTGGATCCACCACCAATATTGTTGCCATGACGACAATACCTGGAGGTCCAGACCGTGCTGTTGCTGTAACTGCAACTGTTGCTGCAACTGCATCTGTTGCATGTACTCCCATTGTTGGTACTATCATGTGACCACACAAACCAACCAATCGTGTGGTTTGTTAGATAGAGGGAAAGTATTGAGTGTAGGAAACAAAACACAAACCATCAAAAAAAAACAAGGGCACAATAAGCACAATAAGCCAGTTTGGTATCTCGATTAAGTAGTCCAGGTCAAAGGTCATTCGGGATAAAATTGCTGACGTGATGATACGGGATGTTACGCAGGCGCCCATTCTGTTTGTAATTAGCGCACGAGCGTCGTGCGGCCGTCTCCGCGCGCGTTCGTCCGCCTTCGATTATCCCAAATGACCCAGGAACCAAATCATTGTGCGCATGCGTAGTTGAAATACCGAGCTGGCTTATTACAAAAATGGGGATTGTGACAAAAATTTTGCATTAGAACTTAGTGCATGGAATTTAAGAATTAAACATCAGTTTCACAAAACTATGGCCAAGTTCGCGCAAGGACTATAGTTGACCAATGGTTAACTAACGTTTGCCCGAACTCTGTCTAGTCGACGGTGGTTGACTACGCTAGTCGACTATTGGGAACCAGCCTACTGGGGTTGGTTGCTTCGCTGGTAACCAATAGCCACGCGCATTCATAACGCTAGCAGAGAGCCAGGATCCAGAAGTTTTGCGATGACATTTTGACCAGCGTTCGACTAGAGACGTTCGCACGTTGCTATTAGTGCGCAAGCGTAAGGTACGTCACAAATCAACCACTAGTCGACTAATGGTCCTTGCCCGAACTTGGCCTATGTGTGCATGTGTAGTTGAAATACAGAACTGGCTTATTACAAAAATGGGGATTGTGACAAAAATTTAGCATAAAAACTTAGTGCATGGAATTTAAGAATTAAACATCAGTTTCACAAAACTATATTTTGTTCCATCAACTTTTGAATTTGAATATTAAAGGATAACGCATGCAAAGGACAAGGGAGGAATTGTGTTATCTTTCATATTTTAAAATCAGAAACAGGTTTACCAGTGCACGTATGATGTATTGTATGTGAATGTAACAAAGTTGACCCAAACAAGTTGTGAATTCTGAAAAGGCAAAGTTACTTTACGGAAAGGGATAAAAAAGAGTGGAAAGTACATGTAGGAAGGGTGACATGCTAGGGTAGTAGTGCTGTCCAAAATATACCGAATATTCGAATTTAGCTTTTGGCCGGTTTGAATATTCTTAACGAAAAAAACTTTACACGTTCACACACGACTGTGATATTATTTTACTCATAAAGTTGCGTTTTTAATAGTCAGATGCCACTTTTTTGTTGATGATAACTATTTGTCGACACCTATTTATTGCCAATATAGCACTTAATATATGCAACTTTTGACCAGTGCGGAAGGCAGCTGCTGCTGGCGTTGTGTAAAACGTGATCGTAGAATATTCAAATATTCGGTCAAGTGCAGTTTCAAATAATCGAATGCTAAATTATTCGAAAATGGACAACCCTACAAGGGCGGATCCTTAATAAGCGGGCCCCGAACCCTTGCCGTAATTTTTTGGATCCACTTTTTGGTGGACCAAATTTTTTTTTTTGGGCCCTCCCCTCCCCCCCAAAAAAATAATTGTGTTTTAGATCCGCCCTTGCAACCATAAAGGGTAGTGTGAAATGAAATTGGAGATTATGATGTTTACTGTATAATGTAAATGATTTTAAGGAAAGTTACTTGCAAACATAGAGTACAAAACCACCATTACAAACAAATACACAATGATGTGAAATTAACACTTCCTTTTTATGTGCTAAAGAGCACATTATCTTTCACGAACCAAATACAGCAAAATTTGTACATTAAGGCCCAAAAAAAAAAATATTCGGTCTCTGGTCAGACCAAAGTTCCGGAATTGACGCGGGGACGTGGTTTTTTTTTTTTTTGCTTTTTTTTTTTTTCTTCAAGCTTGTATTGTACAGACAAGTTGGGTACTATTTTGCTTTTTAGTGTCCTCATGTACATTGGTGTTCTCCATAATTTGCCTTGGTGCTCTCGATCATTTGCCTTGGTGCAATTTCCCATTCCTTGGTGCTCTTTGGTAAAAAAATTGAGCAGGTGCGGCAATAGAGGGCGCTGTTGGAGCTACCGCGGAACATTTTAGAAAAAAAAAAAATTGACGCGCATGATTAAAATCGACGCGCGCGCTGACCAGAGACTGACTTATTATTCTTTTTTTGGCCTAACCCTAACTCCAGTAGTGAAATTTACTAAGAACAGTACCAAGTCCGCCAAAATCCATCACCGACTCTGCTTTACATAATGCTTCAGGACCAAATCCGCCGAAATTCACCACAGATCCACCACTGATATAGGTGGATTTTGATGGACTTGGTACTCATGGCTTGTCTGCCAAAATCCCCCCAAATGGATGGATTTTGATTGAGTTGGGAAGGTTTAGGGTGAAACACAAAGAACCAACGATACACTGTTCCATCACTGAGACAATCAAAATGAAAGTTGGAAGGAAGGGGATACACCGATGGGAAGGGAACCATTTGAAAAACATGCCCCAACCTGCTGTGTCATCTGCTGCTGCATCATTTGAAACTGCTGCTGCTGCTGCTGTGATGCCTGTTGCTGCTGCTGTTGCTGCTGCATAGTTGCATGGGTATGAGTCAAGCGTTGTGGTTAGTTGCATGTAGGTTAGTTCTTGCTTGTATGCATTACATTGGTTATTGTCTGGGTCGATTATTTTTTAAAAATTATAACAAAAGCTGTAAAAAACTGTTGCTAACCTTAAGCAGAGTGTTTAAAACCGGACAAGCACACATTTATTCCCTGAGTAACTTTCCAAAGTTTTGCTTTTATAGCAATTCAATTGGATTGAAAAGGGATGAATTTGACCACGCCTGTGTCATTTGTGTATGTAAATTAGGAACGCGGCAAAGTTTGCAATGAACTTATGATGTTAATAGGAGGCGGCCATGTTGGATTAGGAAGCTGCCATTGCCAAACAACGGAATAGCTGATAACAGCTGCGGCTACATGACGCAAGCATGAATGTACTATAAACTTCAATACAAAATCTACATTGTCAAAATGCTGTATGGCTTTTTGTACAGTGTACATGTACTTTATTTAGTGAAGATGCATGTGCATATTTTGATGGAAAACATCAAAGTACTCAAACTTGACTTTTGAGAGTAAACAAGGATGCGTGCTGTGGACTAATAAATAGCTAACTTAATCACAGGTTATATGCGTTATAAATAGTGCGATTGGACTTTGAATCTAATTAATAGCTTTTGCTGGTACACGCAGCAATATTTACTGACAGATCAAATTTCACGTCTGTTTCAAATTTCGATTCGACATTCTGAGAAATGTGTTTACAATTTTTATTCTACAACTGTAGCTTTAATTGGTGGAGCTGGATTTATACAGAAAAGTTTGAACATTAAGTTAGGTTTGCTCGCTCCAAAGTAAAATTGATGCGATTAGCAAGGTAAATTGTGGAACAAATAAAAAGACAACAGATTTCTGTTTTCTGAAATAAACCAAGAACGACTTTTTATATGAAATATGGCTTTTTGAGAAGTTTCAAATTTCAGTGAAATTTTCCTCTAAAAGCTGGGCATTTTATCTTTTCCCCAATGTCAAGTAGTTTGCAGTTTTGCAAAGTTGTTTTCATTTTGGGAGCTGGCGTCTATTTTTATTCACGCACAGATATTCAATTGATATCGCAATAGCAGGCTTAAATTTCCTTTTAAAACAATTGTGACATTTTAGTATTAAATGGAAACAAAATAAACCAATATGGTCTTTTTTACTAGTAATAAACACATTTTTTAGTGATTTTTTTGTATGTTATTTTAAATACATAGTTACCACTTAGGGGTTTGCACCAATATAGAGTAAAATAAACACAAGATATCAAATGCTTATCTAAATCAATGATATTAAAAGCAAGCAAAATGGATTAGCAAGCCTAAATCAATGATATCATAGAAAAAACATTAATGGCATTAAAAAATAAAAAGGTAATTATTTCATGTGAGAATGATTTCACTAACCTGCTGAAGATACGCCGATTGTTGCGATGCCTGCCCGGCTCCGTACATCCCTGGCATTCCCATCATGCCTGGATTACCCACCATGCCTTGCTGCTGTCCCACCATGCCTTGCTGCGGTCCCACCATGCCTTGCTGCGGTCCCACCATGCCTTGCTGCTGTCCCATCATGCCTTGCTGCTGTCCCACCATGCCTTGCTGTGGTCCCATCATGCCTTGCTGCGGTGCCACCACGCCCGGGTTGGGCATCATGCCGTAACCCTGCATGTTGCCGGGCTGCGGTTGCTGCTGCTGGTAACCGACCATGCCAGCGTTTTGCTGTTGGGGGACTTGGTAACCGGGCACAGCGGAATTGGCCGGGTAACCGTTGGCAACAAAAGGCTGCTGCTGCTGCTTCTGGGATGGAATGTACACGCCGCCTGCAAAAACGACCAAAGAAATCTCTATTTTTCAGTCCCTACCTCATTTTGGAATTATCTCATGCCCTTAAAACTTATCATCCCTTTGAAATGAGTTTGTTGGAACTATGAAGAAAGTCAAAAACGCAAAACAATTTTAAAGTAAAACAAAGAAACTGCCTGGAGAGGGGTTTGAACCTGCGCCCTCTGTATTGCCGTTCCAGTACTTTATACCAACTGAGCTATCCAGCTGTATGTTGGTGTTTCTCCCTTCCGGTTTATTTGGTAAACAAATGACATACTCATTGTCAAGAAATTTGCCAAGCTTTTAATTTCGTTTTCACAGGAAGCATGAGCCATATGTTACACTTGTTTCAGATGAACCACTGCTTTCTTTGCCAGAAAGAATTAATAGTGAACAAATAATGAACCAATGTAATATTATGACCCAATGATAAATTTTAAGATAGTGAACAAATAATGAACCAATGTTATATAAAGAACCATTGACAAATTTTACGACAGGCTCAGCCTACGTCAGTAGTAGCATGTGAGGAACTCGTCAATGCGTTTCGTACCTGGGACGTTGTAAGCAGGCTGCTGCTGCTGTTGTCCTGACGACGTCGCAAACAGCGCCATGATGGAATCTTTGGTTTTCGTGCCTATTGTCCCGGCCCCTGTGCCCTCCTCGCCAAACAGCGAGGGCTCGGCCGTGCCGCTGTCCGGCGTGCCGTTAGTCGTAGCTGGTTGACTGCCCGTGGGCATGGGGGTCGGGGTGTCCAGACCGAGTAGATCGCTCACGTTGTTGGCGGGGGGCGTGCCTGGGGTCAGGAGTCAAGGGTGAAATCAAATATTAACCTTTAGGCATGGGCGTCGCGAAGGGGGGGGGGCAAGGGGGGGCACCCGCCCCCCCTGGAAAAGCCAAAAAAAAAAAAAAAAAACAGGAAGAAAAAAAAAGAAAAGAAAAAGAGGCGCGAAGACAAAGTGGTGTAAATTTAATGAGTTGGGGGGGGGGTGGCAAAATGTCCCTGCCCCCCTCTAAAACTGATAAATCGAGAATGTGTTGAGAAATACAAGCATTTTTGGGCAAAAATTTTTTTGGCCCCCCTCTAGAAAAAATCCTGGCGACGCCCATGCCTTTAGGCTGAGTAAACAAATACGTGGTTACTCAATCAGGCTTTTTGCAAAAATGAAGAAGGCTGCCTTTTATTCCTCCAAGATTTTCCAAGATGGCAGGTGGATTCTGCCATTCTGTGGAGTCCTTTGCTAATCAAAAATGTGTCCATTTTGGGGCCATCACCCTTTCTACATTGCTACAACTTTGTTGAAAACAAATCAAAAGGAAAATATATTGACAATACGTGAAATGAGTTTGAAAAAGATAAATCCGGTTTTATGCGGTAACCATTTTGATTTGAAATTCAGGATATCACAATGACTTTGGAACCGGACAAGAAGCCACAGCTGGAATGAAGCCAATGTTTGCAAAAACACCCGAAGATTCAATGCAACACTCAAACGTCAACTTACACAATCCCAACAAGTCGTTGGCAGAGGCGACCGTCTTGACCGGTGTGGAGGGCAACGACGTGGGTGGCTGGCCGGCAGCCGCCAGATTGGGTGATGACACCGACATTGATGAAGACATTGAGGTGGCATGAGAGGCATGGAGCCCCGCGGGTAGGGGCCGGGGTACAGACTACAGAGAGAGAAAGAGAGATTGCATGGTACGATTAGAGTTGGGGTGGGGTGGAGCTAGTCTGGTTCCCAGACCAAAAGATTCCGACTATTCCTGATGAATCTTAGGTCAGGTAGCCTCCGGTAATACAATGTATTACAATTTACATCACGTGACTAAAACGGGAGGAATTCCTCCTTTTTCCGAAACTGTCCGAAGTTTGCCGAATTCATTTCGTCGACAATCGGACAGTGTCCGAGTATTTCCGAGTATAATATAGGTTTTATTAACTGCTAATTGCTTATTAAAAACTTAAAAAAACTAGTTGATAATTAATATCCATTGCTTTTATTTAGAAAACTTGAAATTCAACGACCATTTTGCACTCGGATCGTATACGGAGGGGCGAACTTTTTGCTGCGTCATGCACAAGTTTGAATTTGACGACCGTTACCGGCATTTTCCAAAACGCGGCGTGGTCTCAATTCGGCTCCGCCTGCTAACAGTGCTGTTTGGGTGTCCAACTTTGAAGATTCCAGGTTAAAATTAGTCAATGTTTTTTTTACAGAAGTATTAAACTGTATATCATAACTGTATGATATATGAAGCAAGTGATTTATTTTTAAAAAAAGTATCGGAACATTAAAAGCTTTATGTGATAAAGCGAATTCGGAAACGAAGTCGAGCTTTGAAAAAGGGCCGTCAATGTCGTCATGTTTATTTTTAGCCACGGAGGCTGCCTGACCTACAATTTAGACGTGTAGACGTCGGGGGAAATTGTCAGGTCGGGGAACCAGACTAGGGTGGAGCTTGATTAATTCGGGCAATTCACAATGCAGTGCGCCACCAAGAGTTTGCCACGGAGAGTTAATTTTTCCCAGTGCATTGTGGGAGATGGTCGACAAATTCGCAGCGCGGGATATTTGAAATTTTTCGTTTTTCCAGTCAGTAGTTTCATAAGCGTATGATTTGAGTATCTGTTTGCCCTTTTCTTTCCTTTTTATCAACATGGTGTGTTTTTGGAAGGAGGCAGAACGCTATGCCCCAATCTATAATAACTTAGCTTAAGTTGTCTAAACACTCATTCAAATGGGCCATGCTTTGTCGACCGTAAACTTGAAAAATGGACTCTCTATGGCAAACTCTTGGTGGCACACTGCATTGTGAATCGCCCGATTGTGAGTCGGCCGACCAGTGTTGGAAAAATACAGTTTTTCTTGAAAATGTCAGCACACCAGGAGCCACGATTTTAAAGGATGATTTGGACTGTCAGTCCCTAAAGATTCAGTAAGGTATTTCGTGATAATTTGATCATTTCATTTTTTGATGTTTGCAAATGTTGTATCTTCCCTTTAAATGATGACATTTTTGTGTCGGGAGATTTATATCCACTATTCGGTTTTACAAAATGTTCCTTCCTTCCTTCCTTCCGTAAAGTGCAGACTTCTACGATGAGAAGAACAACGCACTGCAGATGGGGGGCGTGCTCCAAGAACAATGAATGCGCTTTACTTGACTGATAGTTGGGACTGTCCCAACTACAGTTGGGGCCATTACCACAGTTGGGACATAACAGTCTCAAACCCAAGAGTGTAAAAAAGCAAGTCTATCCCACTTGGGCCCCCAGATCATGGTGGCCCTGCCCAATTACTAAGTCCGTCCCAAGTTCTGCAAATCCTCCGAAGCTCACCTCTCTGGATTTAGCCAATGCTACCAGGGTCTGCTGCTTGTGTCTCGCTGCACTCGCGCTTTTCTTCTCTTTCTTGTCGACGGCTTCAACATATCCTTGTATCCTCTGAAAAACATTAAAATATAATTGCTGTTCAATTCATTAACTGTAACGGAGCTTTTTAACATTACAATAGACCTTGTGCATTAAGGCGAGACAGAGGGCCATGGTTCTGTATCGCTGCGATAGGTATGAGTATGTTACAAAATTAAAATAACAAAGAATAGTCTATGAGGCACCTGCAAGTACCGCTGGGCGAGTAACTTGATTACTCAAATACTCGCGCATAGTTTATGCTACTCATTCTACTCGTGGTTTTTCATCTACTCGAGTACTCGCGGGAAGAAGCAGGTACTCACGAGTAGCAATTTAGGGTTTAGGGTTCACGGCGTAATACTTCCCCTGCAAACAGGGAATCCCTCCCTGGCCCTCTTCTCTCTCCGAGAAAACACAATTCTAGAATCTCGGTTTCAGTTCAAAAGTTTCCGAATCATATTTTGAATTGCGCCCGAAATCAGCATCCGGGACAGGTTCTGATTCAGCCGATTGCAGCTACCCGATATCACGCACTGAACTGACCTATAATAGCAATCACGTGTGGGTGTGTGTCGTGTCAACGCTTGCGCGCACCCATTCATGGGTTCGCCTATTCAAACCAACTACTTTGGGTAATTTCCAAAAATGTGTCACTTGACGCATCTTTGGAAATGGCCTTCTTTTATTGTTTTCTTCAAAATGACAGCATGCCAGAAAGAATAATTTCACAGGGAGTTTAGTTCCATTACTATCTTGAATAAACCAAGTAAGCTTTCCAACAATAATTTCGTCCGTTACTTTTCTGGATAGCTGCAAAAGTTATACTTAATGTACAGTAGTCATGAATGAACTTGACAGTCTTGGGCTAATGCAAGTTTACTTTTATTATCCGGTTGGCTTCTCAGCTCTTACAAACCTTACCTTAGGGGTTGGACGGACATAATCTTTATCCATGTATTTCTTGTGGTCATATTTGGATCGGATGAAATGTTCCAGAGAACTCCTGCTTACAGGTTGTCAAGGAAAAACGAAAAGACGAAACCACAAAAAATGCATTTTATTTGGAAAAAAAAATCATAAAAATTTACCACCAGAGTGTTTCAATTATTAGAATAATATAAATTGTACTTAAAAACACTAATTTTAAACGCTTCATAAATTTAAAACTAAATGCATGTATCTTTGCTAAGAAATGCCAAAGTGTAGCCCAATCTATCTTTGTGCAGTAATAACGGACAAATCTAAACACATAATGGAATATAAATCCATCCAAATGTTGCAAAACTGGAATGAAGAATTCTTTAAAATACTGCAAAACCACATGTTGGATTTTTATAGAACTTCTTTGATACATGTGAGAAACTGTGTTAGTTTTAGTCTTTAAAAGATTACCAAATTAATTAACTAAATGGAAAAAAAAAATTGCAAGATTTCTTCCTTTATGCCTTATTCCCTAGCATAATTTACTAGGAACCATACCCATCCTGGCAAATTCCAACACCATATGGGAAACTGCACACACATATTTCTGACTTTGATTCTGAAGGTGTGCCCAACCCAATGTAAAAGACTGTCAGTTTAGGGGTACTGTACCCATCCTGACTGATTCCAACAAAACATGCCGTTGGGGTTTGATGGGTTGGAGGAGGGGTTAGGGTTAATATAAAGGATACGAATCTGCTGTTGGTCTTCGGAAGTCTGCAGGCAGGTTCTTCTCATAGACTTTTCGGCCGATGGTGTTACCCCCGCTCTCAACACTCTGTAAATAAAGAAAGGAATAACATTAACAAGGCATGATCATCATTTCTTCATAATATTATGTAGTCAAGAAAGGACCGAATAGATTTAAATAGCATTTTACCAAATAAAATATTGAAAAAAATTTGTGAGCTGTCTTGAGAAGATGGAAAAAAAAGGTCAGTGATGGAAGCTTATATGATATTTTATCTGTATAATGTGAGGTTGTTTGTCAATTTTTTTTTTACATTTGTTTATCTAGCTCCCAGACCTATGTTCTTGAAACTCAATGGTTCTTGAGTCTGCAGTGCTGAATGGTAACACAGTAAACACACAGTAACCAATGAAAACTGACGTCACTCCGCCTCGATCCATACCACGTTTTTGTGGAACGCCTTTTTAAATGCACAATTGGAGAGCTTCCTTGATTTTCTTAAATATTAGCCAGTCAGCTTGTACCAACGGTCGAATATTCAAAGTTCCAATAATGAAATACTAAATTATTCAAAATGCTCCCTGTCCCTCATAAATAACGAAGGACAGGTTATTAAAGGGAATATACATCATTTGCTTTTGCTGTAATTTTCAGAAATGGATGGGATTGGGGGGTTGGAAATATATAGCAAATATAGTTACACTGACTTTTTTGAGGTTTTGGGTTCGAAAATGCTATAAAAACCAAGAAAAACAATCATTTTCCTGTAGTCTGGTTCCCTGACTCCATATAAGAAGAAACAGAGCAGTTTATATACATTGGGGAATTGTAAGGTCAGGGAACCAGTCTAGCTGGCTCGTACCCGTTCATAGGTTTGTAATCGATTGCAAACAAGTGCGATGGTCAATTGGGGCCAGTATTTGAAAAAAAAGCCAGTTTTTTCCAACGCTGATCGGCCGATCAGCGTTGGAAATTGATACAAAAATACCCCTTTTCTTGAAAATGACAGTATACCAGGTGCCATGATTTTACAGGATGCTTTACACTGTCATTCACTAACAGTCCAGCAAGGTATTTCAAAATGATTTGGTAGTTTTATTTTTTGATGTTTGCAAATGTTGTATTTTCCCTTTAAAGACAGCACAATAAAATGCAAAACTCACTTATCATTCACACTGGTGGATGCAAGGGGTGCGAAGGGGTGCGGAGGGGCGCCCCCCCCCCCCCCCCCTCCCCATCCCCCCGGCCCCATTCAAGGTAAACGCTTGGACCGGCAATGTACTTTGAATTTGTCCTTTTGCGTCTTTCAAAGCATAAAACCACCAGGCCCATTTCTTTTTTATTTTGGAAATTGTATTTGCTGCACTATGACGTTACTCACTGCTATCTGTTCTTCTGTCCAAGTGTCCAAGTTGACTGACTTTACTCTAGAGACATGTACGCCCAGGTTGCGATGAATACCGGCGCATCGTATGCACAGAAAGATCCCTAAATTCCATGATGCCCACCTCGGACCTAAAATTTAAAAACATGATGAACGAATTATCATTACATTTCATTGCAAATGAGTAGGCCTGTATGCAGTTCCTATAGTATAATTTTATAAGGGAACAAAATCCACTTTTAAATTATTTGACCACCCAAACTAGTTGGCGACATTAAGAAAATATAGGTATGTCATAGATAAAGGGCAGGGTTTTGAATTTTTGAGGAAATTTGGGGGTACAATGACGATGACAACGACAAAACGCAACACGAAAATAAAGATGGCAATCACCGCACGATGTACCGTGACCACATTTTGCCCCAGTGATGCAAATTTTGTCACTTCAAAAGAGATATTCCCACGTCAACGTTGGGGGGGGGGGGGAACAATTGATTGGCAATGATCGTGATGATTGGCATTGGCACACAAGTTTAACAACAACATGCTTAGTAAAAGGCCAGTAAATTCTTGATAAAAATTATGTTCCCCATTTGAGACTTTTGAGTTGACTAGTACTAGAAGTAGAATGGTACACAAAACACAACCCACGTTTCCCCCCGCCCCCCCCCCCCCCCCCACCACCTGCCTAGCCATGAATAAAAAATGAACAAAATGAGAGAGTGGATTCAATTCAAGTCGATTCCTACATAAATCGACCTAACGTTTGACGTTTTATAATTGAATGTACGGCATTCGGATCCAATTAATTTACTCATTGTATCAGAGACATGTCTAGTCTACAGTCATGATGGTCAATCCAACACCTCCATTGATTTACACACAAAATGCCCCGCCGGCGTGTCCGGCGCAGGTTGTCCGGCGCGGCCATCTTTTTGGTTCATCTATTTTACCTTTCGCGTCACAATCGGCACAATATTTGTTGTCTTCCTCACGCAGCAATTTCGATAAAATCATCTGATATTTATCTTGCACGTTCTTGGCTTTGTCCTTCTGGTTTTTAGAAGACATGTCGACGGTGATTCTGTGAGTAAAATTCCAAGTAAAAGATCGAGTTTTTGATGACAGCGTACACAACTGAATACGGAAACGACACCCACTAAATGCCGTATGTGTTTTGACCCGGAAGTTAATGTGCCAGACCGGCCAAACCCGGAAGTGAGTAAATTGCCTGAACTACTTTTCTTTAAAAAAATTACGAAGACATGTTAGTGTGATTTGACTTGGTAAATTCGAACGTCGTTTTAAAATGTTACTTATATTCCAAATATATTGTGTTATTCGAAATTTGTGATCATTAATTTAATCTCAATTTCGTGGCGACATTTTGCTGAAGGCTAAACCGATCCGCGCGTGACCTTTGTACCGGGTACGTCACCAAATCATTATAAAGTTAAAACAGGTGCATAATACGTCATCATTAGACTCGATTGTGGGCGGCTCAGCCTAGCCCAGCCGGAGATAATCCATTAATAAGCTAGACAATTAGATTATGAACAAATCAACTGTAACTGAAACGGGGAAGGTGGGATCGGGATGGTTAATTTATGTAAGAATCCATGATTAAAACATCGCTCATTTATTGGGTTTTCTTGGGGGGAGGGGTGCGGTGTTTTTATCAGTCTGGCATAAGATTTTTTGCAAATTTAACTTTCCATTTTATTGAGTGACGTCTGTTTCTAAGCCATCTTTACATTACAACCTCCAACAAATGCCAATGCCAATGTAGTTAACAATTAAATCCCATTAATAAAACCCCTTCTACATTTGTGTCAACAACCTTTTACAGTGAAATCTTGATAAGTCAAACCTCAAGGGAACAGGTTCAAACTTTGACTTAAGCAGAATTTTGAGTTAAGCAGGGTTGCATATCATTGTTAAGACAAGTGAAGACAATGGATTATTTGTTGACTTTACAGTTGTTTTGAGTTTGACTGATCGAGATTTCACTGTAGTTACTAAGATTATTTTTTTTAAGTTAGTAACAGTCTTAACAATGGAAAACAAAGACAGCAGAAAAGAACAATATCTTTTTTGTTGTTTATTTATTTACAATTTTTCTACACACTTTGTACAAAAGCTAAATATAGTATGCTAAAAATTGCTATTTAAAGAGGTTTAAGCATGGAGCTATGGAACACAGATGAGTGCAAATGTGCCAAATACCTTTTCCCATTTTCATATCTGACGTCAACCTTCAAATTTCTCCTAAAATTTTCACAAAATTTCAGTGGAAATGCTTTTGCATCAATACCATGGAGGTTGCCAAGATGTTACATAAGAATCCATTCAAGTAGCTCAAGCTTGTCCGTGCAGCCTGATCAGCTTTTAACTATTAAAGCCATACAGGGCCCAAGACCACTCTTTTTATACGGTTGGGCCTACACATTTGATGCCAGCGATGATGTAGTCATAAGGTCGTTAGCTAGACTTTCTTAAATAGGGTATCCAAGTTTTTTGAGAGACTGTCAAAAGGGTGTATGACATACATTCTATAAAGTTGGTGTATGGAATACCGATGAGAAATAGGACAGGTTTATACAAAACCGGTGTGGTGAGAAATTTGGACTCTATGAAATACAGACTCGTTGGATGTATTGTGCATGCCTTAGTGAACATAAAGATCAGTGAATGGTCACTTGTGAGGGTTTGAGTCCATATAAGGTAAAAGACACCAGATTTCATAGGAGTCCAAATTTCATAGGACACTGGTCCAAATTCAAAACAGTACGTCAAAAAGACAACCAACATCTTTTTCGCTCCACAAAAATCTGGTGATTTGCATGCTCAACTTGAATTTAAAGAATGCATACAACATGTGCACGAATGCGGTACCACCCTTATTAAGGTTCTATGATTATGGTTTCATAAAAATTTCATAAAATCATAAAATTTACTTATCCAGCGATGAAATTGTCAATTTCAAATATAGTCTGAAAATTCGATGAAAAGTCTGAAAGATGCATTTCTTTCTATGCTGAAAATGTCTTTCTCTCAGATTCAGAAAGTCTCATTTCAGACAAAAGTCTGAAAATCTCACACCTGCTTACCACAAGTCAATCACAAGGGCCAACTGTTCAACGCGTTTAATGTTATCTTTACTTGGACATAGCATAGTAAGGGTTATAGGTCACCCAATGTGCTTTGTTAATGCCTTTCTGATCTTTGGGTAGGAAGAGAGACTTATAGACGGCACTCTTGGTGTGATCGAAGGGCGTATCTTTGCTGCCATTGGTTGATTTCAAAGATGATGCACTGCCATTGGTCAGTTTGCCGGATGCCGCCTTCTGCCCACTGGCTGGTTTTGAGGACGGTCCTGCCGCCCCATTGGTCGGTTTGGAAGATGCTGGCTGCCCATTGGTCAGTTTGGATGATCCTGGTGTCCCATTGGTCAGTTTCTCTGAGTCCGTTTTGATTTGCTTTGATGTGGATGGTTGGTCGTCGGTAGTGGGTGAGGTCACAGTGCACGGAACCTCTGACTTTCTCTTCTGCGCCTTTTTCGCTTTCTGCAAGGAGACAAAAATCACAAAGATTAAAGTTGAGATCCCTGTGCTCTTCAACAAAGTCAATTCAAAAAAAAAATTGTTTTCATAAATTTTCAAATTATATATTTTATTCCAAAAAAAAGGAAAAAACCTTCTCAAAAGTTTTTTTTTGCATCTAAAACCCTCTGAAAACGAAGGCTGGTTCCGGTCCGTACATTATCGAACCAGCAGAACCCATGAGAACGGAAGTATTGTGGGGCCGCAAGTAATTCGAAATTTGTAAAGTAATAATTCAATAAATGAAAGTGGGCTGATTTTTTTCGGTAGATTTGTCTCATACAAATATGAATTACTTTTGTATCACTACCAAAATAGCAATTGAGAAAAGGAATCAATTTTTCTAGATGAAATTTGAAAATAGCACAGGGAATGCACCTTTTTAAGCTACAGGTAATCATTGTTCTGTTCAACATTTGACACAAAAAAAATTGGTTTTAAAGTTTTCATCGATGACGGCAGTTAAAGCTACCAATGATGCTTCACAAAGTTTAATGAAAGAGGTCAGCGGTCACCAGCACTCTTGGACACTACGCAGTGGAAACGAGTGAATGTTAGGCTAAATAGCGCCCTCATTTGTTCATGCACATCTCCAATACATTGTGTCTTTACCTTCTCAGCCTTTGCTTTCGCCCTCTTGTCCTCCATCTTGGATCGCAGGTCGTCGACCTCTTCGGGGCTTCCGTTTATGATGACGGCATCGTCCACGTCGTATGCAGCACCGCACTGGATGAAGTAAAGGAAGAACACGATGTTATCACTGGTACGCATAAACGTAGTTGGGGTCTAACAAGTCATGCACGAGTTATTCACGAGTTGTCCAGACTCAACTCAAGTTACTGGCTATTGACATAGGCATTCATTCCTTCGTAATTGCCATTCCTTCTCCTAAATGTTTCTTAAGACAGTCCTATAACATTACCTTGTGACAAACATCGGACTTGACTTCCTTCAGAGCTTTCTCCGACAAGACACAGCCGCATTCCCACAGAAAGCAAAACCTGTAAAAAACAATAAAAACATTGATAAGGCCAAAAAAGTCTCTGGTTTCTTGTATGGAGCTTGCCCAAAAAGTGGTGCGGCGACGCGGCTTTTTTTTTTTTTTTTACGTTTTTTTTTCTTCAAATGTCGGCTGATGACTGCAAATGGTGCCCGACTAAACTTAGTGCAAATATATGGGAGTCCAGAGAGGCCACATAAAGCTTAATCTCGATCGTAACCCCATTTAAAAACATGTTAAAATTGTGCAGCAGCAGGATTCCAGTCAAACCAGTGAGTTTGGCGGTTTTGAGACATCATCTTTCATTGGAAAAAAATAATCATTTTGCCGACGCGCATGGCTACGGCGACGCGCGCGCATACCAGAAACCGGAGACTTTTGGTTTTTGGCCTAAGCTCAGCAGACAGTGCAAATCAACTGCAATCTCCACGAGACATGACTGAAGAAATCCTGCCATGAAAAATATCAATCTTAATATCCAACTTATGGTAGATGAAAGGCCCTCAGAAACGACTGGAGTTTTGTAAATTTATGTTCCGAGTCAAACCGAAAACGGTTTCTCAAGAATAGAAAGTTTTCAAGCAAGCAACGGAAGACGACATGTTGTTCTTACTTGTAGTGTCCGTTCATTTGCAGTCCTGTTACCGGGCAGATGTACTGTGTAGTGCCATTTTCAAGATACAAATCTTCCTTCTGCTGTCCACTCTTCTCAAAGGCGGGGTTGGAAGTCATGTTCAACTCCTTCACATCCTGAACAACATAAAGAAAACAGTGACTAATACAACTTTTGAAATAAAAAAACAAACAAACATGCAGTGTACTTGCATGAGAGTAGTGCAACAAGGTGTGGGCACAAAGTGATATAACAGCTTTGTGTTGTATATTTTGCCACCGAGAATGTTGTTTTACAAGATTTAAATCATGGCGTCAGGGAGGTAAAACACTTCAACAATTCCCATTAGACCAATGCGAACATAGTGAGAAGATAGCGTGTGCGTGGTGTGAATACTGTGTGAACAACGTTTGAGCCTGGTGTTAACATTGTATGAATACTGTGTTGACATGGTGTGAACTCAATTGAGTACTAAAGTGTGACGTCATTTAGAACCAGAAACTGTAGTGCAAACGAATGGAATACTCGCGTGTGTTGGTTCACGGGCTGAATCACGCGCTAATGTCTTTTACACACACATTGTGCGCGTGATGTATTCACTTCGGTACTTGATAGAAATGCTAGAACACTGCGAGAACATACAGAAAATACTGTGGGAACACAGTTTGAGAATCCTCCGAACACATCTTGACCGAGACCTACCTTCAGCCCTCTGATGTGCTGTGCAGAGTCACACGTCGACTTATCCAGCAGATATTCCAATAAGGATTCCTTGTTGTACAATCTACAAAGGGGAGTTCAGATTGAACCAAATATCGGTGATTTCAAATGAGAAACAAACATTAAAAAATTCTTACAATTCGGCTCTTTAGAAAGTTACTCCTTTTCTAACATTCCAAAAAGAGAAAAGATTATCCCAGGTACAGAACTGAAAAAGTTAAAGGGCACAAAATTGAATAATAAGAAAGTCTTCGCACTACCAAATCAACCAACATAAGTTTGGTTTACAGGGGTCAGACAAGTCGACCGTTGAGACAACTCGACTCGGGACAAGTCGACCGTTGAGATAACTCGACCGTTGAGACAACTCGACCGTATGTACGATAAATGGAAAGACAAGTCGACCGTTGAGACAAGTCGCCTCGCATGATTTGGGCCTAGTTTCGGGGATAGTACCGGGGATTTTGACGGCGCCGTTTGGGAGTGATGACACATGACTTTTTTGTTGTTGCATATAACAGAGCCGATATAGCGCAGCGTGATTGTCCGTGCACATCGTTCGTTTTTTTCAAGGCCACGTGCACGCATCCCCGGTCAACGTGGCCGTACCGTGCACGGTGGCATCGTTTTTGCCGGGCCTGTGCGCCCACTTATCTCATCCCCGATCAGTCAACGTGGCCGTACCGTGCACGGTGACATCGTTTGTGCCGGGCCTGTGCGCCCATTTGCCGCGCCGGTCGACGTGCCCGTGTGCCGGGCCCGGCCCGGTCCTCGCGGGCGGGCGGGGCCCACCGGCCCGACGCGACGCCCTCTGTACATCGAGTATGCCCGCACCGCACCCGTGATCGGTCTTGCCACAGATTTGTGCAACTTTTTCTGCTCCACGTGTATTCATTTCCATTAAGTCGAGCAGTCTCAACGGTCGAGTTGTCCCGAGTCGAGTTGTCTCAACGGTCGCCCTGTCTCAACGGTCGAGTTGTCTCAACGGTCGACTTGTCCCGAGTCGAGTTGTCTCAACGGTCGACTTGTCTGACATTCTGGTTTACAATGACTGAAGCAGAGAGGAGTCAACAAAAGGGGATTTGTGGGTGGGGTGGGGGGGTGGGAGTGGGGTATGGGAAGGGGTAGGGGGGGGGGATGGTAGGTGCACTTACCTTCCCAGTTCACAAGCCATGATTGGCTGCCGTAGTCGTTCCTGGCTGATTGCACAGTGCAGCCATTTGGCCATTCGTTCCATGTTTTTATCAACCTGTGGGCAAGTCAGACAAAAATGCTAGAAAACGCAAATAAGAAATTTGATCCTCTAAAAAATATGAGTCTGTTAGTGTTACAGGAAATTAATTTTGATTTGCTATGTACACAGATATTTTTCAAAAAAAGTAGGCTATGTTTAACACTTTCATAACAGGATCAAAACTTGCGTGAATTCACTGAAAATCATAAGTGTAGACATGGTCAATGATGGTAGAAAATGTCAGATAAAAGTTGAAAAATGGTTTATCTTGTAATACCTTGTCCTTGGTAATTTGGTTTAATGTTACTCAATTAGACTTTTGAGTTCAAGATTCGACAATCACGTTTTGTTCGACAACATCGATGATGTTGTGCACGTTCGGTCGATGTGCGTCATCGACATTCATGACATTGCCGGTCGATCGCGTTGGCGTTTCGCTAGCTATGCTCGGTCAATCAATCTGCCACCGCACCAGTCGAACACCTTTTCTTTTAAACACTACAGGATTTCTTTTTAAAAATGGAAGTAAAGTCTGAGATATCCTACAGCATCGACCCATCGCGCAACGCGATCGACCTCCTAAGCCCAAACAATGCATATGTCACGCCCCAACTATCGCATCGGTCCCAACTATAGTTGGGCCTGTCCCAACTATAGTTGGGCCTGTCCCAACTGTAGTTCCACAGTTGGGCTGGCCCAACTATAGTTGGGCCTGTCCCAACTATAGTTGGGACGGTCCCAACTGTAAGTTCCATTGTTGGGCTGGCCCATCTATAGTTGGGCCGGCCCATCTATAGTTGGGCCACTCCGATCTTTTTATTTTGCGGTGTCCCAACTATAGTTTACATTGATGTACAACCATAAAACGTTCCCTACAGCTCTGATACACGTCTGACTTTACTAGGGACCACTGAAATTAGCTATTGATGGGGCGAATCTATAGTTGGGCCACCCCAATCTTTTTATTTTGCGGTCCCAACTATAGTGTACATTGTTGTACGATTAAAAAACGAAGTGGCTATCGTTACGGCACTCGTTGTTTAGCGCCCTCTACGATATTTTTTTGATACGCACGCAGGTATATAATTATTTGTTTCCCCACGTTTTGTCGAGCAGTGCGCCAGCTCAGCCGATAGAAAGTAGGATTTTGCACCGCGAGGTTGCGGGTTCGAATCTCAGTTTTGCACTCGAATTTTTTTCCTTTTCTAACCTGAGGCTTTGGAGGATTTTTTTTAAAAGGGAAATAAAGTCCGAATTTCATAAAGTTCAAATTCACTTTTTTCCTTCTAATTTTATATTTTCTTGTCATGTTTTTTTTATAAAAGTTGCCAGGTTGCAGCATGGTTGCAGTCTACCGTAACGATAGAAAATGGGAAATGCGTTACGGCTGCCGTAACAATAGCCACTGCGATTAAAAAACATTCCCTACAACTCTAATACACATCTGACTTTACTGGGGACCAATGAAATGATCTATGGGTGGGGACCATCTGTAGTTGGGCCACCGCAATATTTTTATTTGGCAGTCCCAGTATAGTTTACATTGATGTACGACTATAAAACATTCTCTACAGCTCTGCTTACATGTCCGACTTGGGACCTTTGACAGTAGCTATGGGTGGGGCCCATCTATAGTTGGCCGGCAATGGCAATCTTTGAATTTTGCAAAATGTTGCTGGATAATAAAACCCAGCAGCTGGACAACTCATCCAACTAGGCAGTACCACGTGACCGGCCAGCCTTGCGGCATGCATGCACGACGAATACACGGTGCCAGCGCCGCGGAACATTTAATCCAACAAGATCTATCAAGCATGAAGCATCCGGCGTAACTCCAGTCCTAACTATAGTTGGGCCGACCCAACTGCCGCACTATAGTTGGGACCGATGCGATAGTTGGGGCGTGACACATATGATGACGTTCAGCATGTTCATCACATCATGTCACTCACTGCTCAGTTCGTTTCAACTTGCAGCAGTGTGGCAATATTGCACGACGAAAATATCTGTTTTTGTAAAACCAGTTTCCCCCAGAAATCCTACCTGTTCCGGTTTTTTCTTCAATCTCACGAGTTCATCTCGTCTTGGGATGGTTCCCCCGTCGCATCCCATGTTTGCAGACTGAATTAAATGGGCAAATATTCTCAGAAAACAATCGCAAAGTAATTCATGTAATTTGTGATGCGACGAAACAATTTTGTGGAGTTATTGAACAGCGCCGCCAACGACAGGTGTCTTGAAAAATAAGGGATCCCTCTCCTACTAGCGTCTGGCCTATTAGTAAATCAAATGAGCGATCACTTTCAATAATGTTGCTTCCCGTCTCTCGAAAGTGTTTAACTTCAAGAAAATACGATAAGTACATGATGTTAATGTTACGTGTTTTTTTTAAACAAACACCGAGTTGATCCTGATTTTTTCCCCCATCCCCTCAGTTTCTGGCGGTGTAGGTCTGTTAAAATGAAATAGCGCCCTCTTCAAAGCTGTAAGTAAACCATTGATCTCCATTAGTAACTGAAAAGGTACGATCAACAAAATATAATTATCTTATTTTGAAATCAATTTTAAAAAGAGGATAAATGACCCAATATCTCACTTCTCCCACTGAAGCAAATCCCTCCCATTTTTGTGTGTGTTATATTGAGACCAATATCGTGGGCACAATCAAAAAAGTGACTCAGCATAGTGCGGATAAGTGTTTACATTTTGCTGAAATTCGGTCAAATAAATTTCCTCGGCGGGCGCGACCAGATAATTTCCTAAATTTTCCAAAGTCATGTGTTTTTAATTTGTTTACCCCAGTAAAAATTACTTTCGATTTTTCACGGAAAGAATTGGATGATCCGTCTTCTAGAAATTCTTACATTTTTGCTCCCTGTGGATACCGTCTTGTGCCGCAGCGCCATCTCGCGTCATTTTGTAGGCCTACTTGCAGACGACATTTTCATTTCACGCACGATTCACACAACCACGCCTCCAGCCAGCACTTTTCTGGTGCTGAGAGAGACGGAGGAGCCTCATTAATAAGGAGCACACAAAAATAATGAGAATAGGGACGTCTACTGGAAAACGTGACTAGTGACAAAAATAGTGACAAGAATTTACGCGTCGTGTACTGTGGACTGGAGAAAAAAAATCATTCAATTTTAAACAGATTCGACGGGCAGAAGTGACGGTGAAATCTTAGGTGTAGCGAACAGGATGAAATCGTACAGGTAGGTAGATCTTTCAAGTTCATTGAAGAGGTACAGTAGTATTCCTGCGTTTTTAAAGCAAAGGAAAAACAGTGAGTAGTAATCGATTTTACGAGCAGGCGGGGCAAACTGAATTTTCTTGTGCTTCGTCTATATACCGCGGCTTGAGCAAGGCCTAACAGAGGGCATGGGGTTGGGTTGGAGGATGCGATTGGTGTGGGCGGGGCTGATGGGAGAAAGGAGGGGCCATTGATGAATATAATGTTGCCGCTTTGATTTATTTAAAGGTGGTGCCGTTATTTTTCGACCACTTTAAGGATTAGTGTGTAATATAATAATCTGTAAAGATTTTTTTGGAGAGAGATTTCAACATATTAACTTCTTTTCAAAGGGCATAATGTTTGGATATCGTTATATATATTTTTAATTACAGTCATTTAATCTTTACGTATTTTTTTTAAACAGTATTATGATTTCATATTCAGTAACACCAATAATATTATATGATAATTCCAATTAATTTTTACAAAAGCATCTGAGTGGAATCATAAATTACCAAAATGACGATTATTACATCATGCAAAGGACTAAAAACTATATTGCTTGTGTGAAGTGCTTTAATTATATATATATTTTAAAATCAAGATCACGTAAAAATATCCAAAGCATTATCAATCATTGAAGGTTGTTATAACAACAACGGCATCGTTGCTGACATTTGCAGACGCAAAGCTAGAACATGATTTATGATTCCACTGTGAGATTTCATCACAGCATTTGCCTATGAGTCATCATCGATCTGGCGTGCACAGTGCATCTTCATATATACGGGCTATTTTTAAAACCTTGGCATTCAAAAAGTAACGCATATAGCCGATTCTATCAGACTGAGTCAAGACACATTTTGGAGGATTTTTTTTCCTCCTTTTAAAGTGCCTTGAGGATCGATCATTTTAACAAGGAACAATAAAAGCTGAGTCCGCATCATTGGTGTCATCACTGGTTGGTGCCTGTCTCTCGCCATGGCAACCGTAGGTAAACAATGACGCAGAATAGTCTGCGTCAACGATGCTAATTTTATAGAGGATTAATCCGGGCAATCATGCAGTCTGCGATGCAGACTCAAACGTCTTGGCAATAATTCGATTAAATGTTTGATTCCAAAGTCAGATTTGCGCAGATCAGGACTATTATTATTATTCTTTAAAGGGAATGTACAACATTTGCTTTTGTTGAAATTTTCAGAAATAAATGGATTTGGAGGATTAGTATGTTATCGCAAAAAATGTTAAAATGACTTGTTTCACGTTTTGGGCATGTAGTTGTTAGAAAAACCCAAGAAAACCAATCATGTTCTTGTAGTCTGATTTCCCGACCCCACTTAAGATGAAAAGGAGCAATTTATAGACTTTTGGGAATTGTAAGGTCAGAGAATCAGTCTAGCAGGCTGGTACCCCTTCACTGGTGTGCAATCAATTGCAAAGAAAACAATGAATAACTAATTATGAAAAATTAGAAGCAGGTTTTGAAAAAAGCCATTTTTTTTCCAACGCTGGTCGGCCGACCAGCGTTGGAAAAATACCATTTTTCTTGAGAATGATAGCACACCAGGAGCCACGATTTTACAGGATGCTAAAATTTAGACTGTCATTCCCTAACAATCCAGTAAGGTATTTCATGATAATTTGATCATTTCGTTTTGTGATGTTTGCAAATGTTGTATCTTCCCTTTAAATCATTAAAAAAAAATTATCCAAAACTCAAACCAAAATAAACAACAGAAAACGGATTTATTAACTTTTTTTGTTCAGCATTATCATGAAGATATAGGAAACAGATTTCGTCAATCATGAAAGTCCACGCAGTCGACACCATTTCCGCGGAGTGACCAAGTGAAAATTGAATGAGAATTAGTCATTTGAAAGTATAATCATCAATGCTTGTCAATAATTGCATGCCATAGTCTTGCGGCTTCCCATATTAGTTTGTAAGCTCAATAATGAAGCTAGTCTAACAAGACATCGAGAGAACACGTGTATATATGCATTAGTTTGATCTTAGAGTGCTGTCCAGCGAGTCCCTAGTGTGTAATTTGACACCCAGAGAGCGTTGTCTGATGGCAAATATTGTGTCCGAACTCCGACGAAGATTGATCGTGCAGGATGAGTTGTCCATTTTGGTCGTGGGTAAATCTTCGGCAGTCCTTGAGCTTGTCGCGCTGCGGTTGTTATTTTTGGCCGAGCGCTATATACGCAGTTGAGTCACGGTCAATTGTAATATCGCGCCTATATTCTGCGGGCCTTATTCCTTTCATCGCCATACTTTGCTTCGGTTACAGGCTGACTCATGCAAGAACCCGGTTGCCACGGTGACCAATGCAGAGAGGGATGAAAAGGGTAACAAAAAAATCCTGGAGGATAGGAATTGACACTTGCGATTGTTTGAAATTGTAGATTCCCGGTGGCGAATTCGAAGTGTCCGGATCTGCAGTACTTAAAGGGAAAAAATGGCAAGAAATTAGGTTAAGCTATAGTCGCCCGATGCGATTGTGCACAACTTGGCCCAAAGTGGCAAATTCGTATTGAATAACTGGTAATCCCTCACCAAGGTTGTCTCCGAACGATAGATTTGTACAAGATGGTAGTCCTCTCGGTCGGAAAATGTGGCTGTAAGTACCATTAAATTTACAGAATGTCCGAGGGAGAAAAGGCACTTGTTTTAATATCCAGCAGCTGGACAATGTTGCTGCGTATGGATTACGTTAAAGGGAATATACAACATTTGCAAACATCGAAAAATAAAACTACCAAGTTTTTACGAAATACCTTACTAGGATGTTGGTAAATGACAGTCTAAAGCATCCTGTAAAATTATGGCACCTGATGTGAAGTCATTGTCAAGAAAATTGTATTTTTGTATGCATTTCCAACGGTGGTCGGCCGACCACCGTGGGAAAAACCTAACTATTTTTCAACTACTGCTCCAAATTTACCTTTTTTTTTTAGTCCAAATGTTGTTTGCTATTGGTTACATGTTCATGAACGGGTGCAGGCCAGCTAGACTGGTTCCCTTACCTTACAATTTTCTGGCATCTGTGAATTGATCCATTTTATCTTTAGTGGAGTCAGGGAACCAGACTACTTGAACAGTTTGTTTTTCCAGCATTTTCGAACACAAAATTTCAAACACGTCAGTGTAACAATCTTTGATCTATTATACTAACCCCTCAAATAGTTCATTTCTGAAAATTACAGCAAAAGCCAATGATGTACATTCCCTTTAATTGTTTTGTGCAAAATGTACCGTGCACTGCGCCACTCTGTATTTCTATTTTTCATCAACATTGTTAATTTTTCAGACCCATTTTAATGGCTGGCTGGTAATCATTTTGTTTTAATTTTTATTGTTAAAATATGATCCAAAGGCCGGTTATCCCATTCTGAATAATTTCCAAAGAAGCCCGCTGCGCGAAATAAAAAAAACAACAGTGACATTAAAACATTTAAATGACAGAAAGAAAATTTGAAAGAAAAAAACACCTCCATGGAATAAAATTGCTTAAAGGGTATGTACAGCATTTGCTTTTGCTGCAATTTCCACAAATAAATTGGAGGATTAGCATGTTTTAGCAAATATTGTTAAAATGACTTGTTTCACGTTTTGGGCTTGTAGATGCTGGAAAAACCAACGAAACCAATCATGTTCTTGTAGTCTGGTTCCCTGACCCCACTTAAGATGAAAACGGAGTTATTTATAGACTTTAGGGAATTGTAAGATCATAGAATCAGTCTAGCAGGCTTGTACCCCTGCACAGGTGTGTAATTAATTGCAAAGAAAACGCGGAATATGAAAATTCTGAGCAGATTTTAAAAAAAAAAGCCAGTTTTCTCCAACGCTGGTCGGCCGACCAGCGTTGAAAAAAATCCATTTTTTTCTTGAAAATGACAGCACACCAGGAGCCACGATTTTACAGGATGCTTTAGAATATTCCCAACCAATCCAGTAAGGTATTTTGTAATTTTGATCATTCCGT